GGAGGCATCAAAAAGAGGAAGTTTTACTGTCTTGGTACAGTGGTTTGTCCCGCAGAGAACTGTTCATTCTCTGTTCGACCCAAAAACCCAGCCACAAAAGTCGCTGCAAGAACCTTCAGGGTGTTTGTTGACATTTGATAGAGGGCCCAACCAAAAAAGACCCCCCCCGGTACTTTTGATTTGGCTTGGAGGCGCTAGGTACACACATGTCTGGTTTGGCCAAACGAAACTATCGTCATGGGTGACAGGATCCTGAACTGATTGCTCATTGCCAATATCCGGAGGTATATTGGGTTCCCTTGATTTTTCTTTTGGAGGTTTCTTTGAAGGAACTTCCGTCTCAGCAACAGATTCTTCGGAAGATTTTGGAGATTTGACACTTGGTTCTCCCAGTGTTTGTTTCAGTGTTGTTTGGGAAAATATCTGGAATTTCCTTCCACCTGGATTCTGAGCACCTTTACGTTTGGAAGATGGAAAAACCGAAACATCTGGCTGTAATGGCACTTGGAGACTGCCCACCGGTGGAATGAATCCTCCCTTCTGAAGCTCAACCATCCGCTCAAAGTAGACAACATTGGCTCGTTTGACCTCGAGATCTGCTTCTGCGTACTCAACCTGTGCACGTTTCTTTCGAAGCTCCCCTACAGCAGTGTGCAAATTCTGTTCATGTAAGATCTTGAGCCACTTTTGGTGGTCTCCGTCTTCTCCAGAGGAGGATCCATCTCCATCAGATCCCATTCTTGATTTGCAGCTGGGGAGAAAATGAAGCCGTCCCACTCAACATTTTGGAGGCTGGGATGAGTCTGGGATGAGTCTGGGATGAGTCTGGGATGAGTCTGGGATGAGTCTGGGATGAGTCTGGGATCAAACTGGTAACAGGCGGAGGTCTGGGAGGGTCCAGTTGGGTCTCGATTAGGACCGATATTTTCTTTTCCAAAAAGGGGAATTCACCGATATTTTAAGAGGGGGACTTAAGGTGAGTCCCATATCAAAAAAATCGGTGAATAAGTGCATCGGTAATATCCCCTGACTCCCGGCTCAGTCTGATGGAAAGATCGCTGCTGCATCTGTACACTCTTTCAGTACAAAGAGCTGTATCACCATCAGACAAGATAGGAACAGCTGCAGAGGACATAGAGTTCCTCTGCAAGGAAGGATGATGCTGTTCCTCAGCCATGACCTATCTAGAAAGATAGCTTGGTCTATACCAGCCAAAAGAGATGCATGGATCTGTATCCTGCATGGCTGGATGGAGTTTGTCGCAAAATCAGAGTTTGTGTTTATGTTTATAGTTTAAAGAAGCAATGAAGAAGTAGTTGACCTGAGAAACAGACCCAACAGCACAAGTAGAGCTCTGCAGTAGACCGGATCCTGTATGGCCAGTGCCAGGGTATTGAGCAATTAGACTGTTCAATCATTGCTTCCACAGTGATTGAATAGCATTGGCTGCCAGCCTTGGGCTGACCTTTCCAGCGCCAGTGGAAGGAGATCTCCACCAAACAGAGCTCTCCATCCCAGCTCTTGTGCATCTACCCCTGAGTTCCTACCTGGAATTCATAGGATTAACAGATTCGCATAGTCAAGCACACAAGAGTGGCTCAGTGTGGAAATCGTCGTGGAAGAAGAAGAGGAGTTGCGAGTTGCGGATCAACAAGAAAATCGCGACCACGACCGGAAACTGGAATCGCGACCGATTCGAGTGGAGCCAAGACAGCCACCTACCAACCAAAGGTTGCTCGACACGCCACGGTCACTGGCTGCCTTGCTAACCATCTCGGTTCAAGTGGCTGACCAGTGGAATGGATCGGCCAATCGATCCATCCAACTCGGAGGTCTGCCGACAACTCGAATCGACTCGACGCAGTCACTGGAGCGGTAGAGACCAAACCAAGTGGTTCACCTACTAACCTGAGGGTGCTTGAGATGATACACCAGCCAGTTTCTTGTTAATCAGCTCCGTTCGATCGGCCGACAGTGGAATAGGAACAGCACATCACCATTGTCGATCCTTTCTTTTCCTACGGAAATTCTCAGTCTCAGTCGTGCCTCCGGACGTACTGCGGTCAAGGGAACTGGTACTCACACGGTACTCACAAGACACCGTACCTCTGTTCCGAAAGCAAGCCGATACTCACGGGATCAAGGTCACCTCACATTTTCCTCGGAATTCCGAACTCGAAGATCGCTTCGCGCTCCGTACGGATCGATCCACTGTCACGAGTTGACTACAGGAGTAACTCAGGGCGCCACGAGACCACCTTTCGAAGCGTTTCGAAGCAATCCAAGGTTACCAGTGTGTCAAGCAGCCTTCAATTGGTCATCCACCAACAGTGCAAGGCTTCAAGTCTCCATTTGAATTTCTTGTGACAGTGGTTGTTCAAGCACCACTACAACAACACCTCTACACCACTACACCACACCAGCCAGCGCACCAACAGTCACCATCATGGCTCGCAAGAAGAAGCAACAACAACAGGCCCAGACTGCCATTGGGGTTACACCAACACCATCTGGCAATAGCACCGGCAACACCAACAGGTCCACCACTGCAGGGCCTCCACAACCAGTCCCAGTCCCACCCCATGGAAGGACACCTGTGGACCCCCCTGTAGCCTACCAGTCAGGGCCTCCCATTGTGACTCCTTCTCCACCAGCCACCCATGGTGTTACCCTTTCAATGATCAGCCACCAACTGGCAGTAGCATTGAAGAAGATGAACCAAATGAACCAAGCTCCCTTGGCCCCACCACAAGGCCACCATACCAATCAGCTTGGTTCCTACCATCCACATGACTCCATTCCCTGCACACCTGGTTTATCACACAAGTCTAGCCCTGAGATCAAGGCTAGGAGGACCGATTTAGAACCAAGCAGCTTGGGACCGAGTTTGTTGGGTGATGTTGAGGACCCTCTTGGTCATCCATCCCAACCCAAGGTTGCCATGGATGTTGCCCCTCCCTCTGCTGGAGGTGGATACCATCACCAAGTGTGGGCCCTCAATGGGGAGGTATTTCCCCAACCAACACCAATACCATCACATCGCGGCATCCCACCAACACCCCATTCTGTGAGATACCCAACTACACAACTGGTGTCTTCAGTCCCTACACACCCTGTGTCTTCAGCACCAATTCAACCTGTGTCTTCAGCAGCCTATCAGCCCATGCCTATTAGGCCCACATCATCCCTGACACCAGTACACTCAGCCATTCCTCCAGTCAGCCAACCTACTGATCAACTGGAGAAGCTAAGAAGGCAGTCAGTCAGCCAACCTACTGATCAACCGGAGAAGCCAAGAAGGAAGTCAGTCCTCATTCCCACCCCTAATGGCAATGATGGTGGTCTTCCAAGTCCCAGAGGTGGTGGAGGAGGCGGCAACACAGGCCCTCCAGGCAAGCCCTTTCGCGCCAAGCCAGATGCCAATGCCTACCCTACCCTCAAATCCAACAAGGACTTTGACCAGTGGTATGAGTCCTTTATCACTGTGGCTAGAGGTCAAGGGTTTCATAAGATCTTTGATGCCGACTACGTCCCAAGCAGCACCGAGTCCATGGATGAACTTGTACGAATGAATCATTGGTTCTACGCTGTTTTCCAGAAGACAGTGAAGACCACCAATGGAAAGGTGATCGTGAAGTCCCACTTTCATGACTCTGACTGCTTTGCCATCCTCGTTGAGCTTGTCCAGGATGCTCACTTGTCTGTAGCAGGTTCTCTGGATCATGTGGAAACACTCAAATGGCTGACCAGTGTGCAATACAGCCCAGAGGAGCAAGGTCCCGCAGTGGACTTCATTGTCAAGTTTGACACAGTTGTTACCCGATACAACGACGGCCAAGGAAACTCCAGTGATAGGCTCACCGATGGTATACAGAAGCTGTTTTTACAGCGGGTCTTCACCGGTGTCACAACCTTGAACGATATTTCTGCACGTGAACATGAGAGAGTATGTTGCGAGGGGCATCATGCATCGTTCACATACGACGGATACAAGGAGGTGCTACTGAATGCCGCTACATTCTTTGACATCAACTGAAGAGATGATGACCCACGTCTAGCCAACATAGCTGCCATTGGCAAGACAGGGCATCAGGGTGATGGGGACAAGTGTGATGTCCCACGCCTTCCCGACAATGTTTGGTCTCAGCTATCCAGCAATGGATGGCAGCTTTGGTACAAGCTCTCTGTCGCTGACAAGAGAGTCTTGGTGAAAGCACACCATCGTCAAGCCCGGATGTCTGAACTGGTGGATCCGAAGAGCAAAGCTGACCCAGCAGTCGGGGACGCCTCAGATCCTCCAGATGACAATGCGGTGCCTGCAGCCTCCAAGGGCAGGTGCAGGACCAAGGCGGATTTTCGCCGGGGCAACTAGTGTTTGTGTCGCACTGGTTGAGCCCAAGGGACCCAGGCACGGGCCATGGCTGCGGGGTAGCATGTCACCCTCATAGGGGCTACCTTCCGCAGTACATGGCACAGTATGACAAGTGTTTGTACTAGCCTTGTCATCTCCAGGATAGTATTGCTTCCAAGTACAATGTTTTGTGAAAACATGTTTTGGTGACTCCCCCCCTCCCGCCCTGATGGCACTCCCTTCACTTTCAGGTGATGGGGAGAACTTACACTGTGTCACCCTCAGCGAAGGTGAAGCAGTCGGGCTGGAGCAACACCCACCCAAGCTGATGGCTGTGGAATGAGCCACTGCCATGTCATGTGACAGGACCTGCACTGGTCATGCCCAAGCAAGCACCAAGTTAGTCGTGTCTCTGGACGGGATTCTTTTGAACCCATGTAAGGAGATGGTAAACTTGAGGAGACGTCTGCGTGTTGCCTTTAGCTGAGGCTATATCTGATGATAGGACAACCAGTCCCACCTCCTAGGATGACAACTTGTCACCTAACTACCCAGTTGAGGGCTCCAGATGAACAAGTTATGGCCAAGATTGTTCTCACTGGCCCTTATGGGGAGATAGACAGATGCCTCCTAAGCCAATGAGCTGTGATGCAAGTATGGGGAGACCAGGTAGGATCCCAATTGACGGTCAGATGGACCAATGCCAATGCACCCTTTCTCTCCTGAACACGACTGGAGGTTTGATCACAAGCCCATGTGATGCCCCTTCCAATGTGTCAAGTGGTACTCAGCAATGGACACCTTGATGTATTCAAGAGGGTTGGTAACCCCTGAGGTAAGCAACCAAAGTCCACACTGAGAAGTCAGATGCTCCCTGTTCATGGAAGTATCGAGGGAAGCCCCATGATGTGCAAGCTTGTTGGCACCCCATCCATGACTCCAATGGTGGGGAACGATGAGATTATGCCATAGGAGCCATAGTATGGGTGCGGCGCAGCTGTGCTGGCTCAGTCTGATGGAAAGATTGCTGCTGCATCTGTACACTCTTTCAGTACAAAGAGCTGTATCACCATCAGACAAGATAGGAACAGCTGTAGAGGACAAGGAAGGATGATGCTGTTCCTCAGCCATGACCTATCTAGAAAGATAGCTTGGTCTATACCAGCCAAAAGAGATGCATGGATCTGTATCCTGCATGGCTGGATGGAGTTTGTCGCAAAATCAGAGTTTGTGTTTATGTTTATAGTTTAATTAAAGAAGTAATGAAGAAGTAGTTGACCTGAGAAACAGACCCAACAGCACAAGTAGAGCTCTGCAGTAGACCGGATCCTGTATGGCCAGTGCCAGTGTATTGAGCAATTAGACTGTTCAATCATTGCTTCCACAGTGATTGAATAGCATTGGCTGCCAGCCTTGGGCTGGCCTTTCCAGCGCCAGTGGAAGGAGATCTCCACCAAGCGGAGCTCTCCATCCCAGCTCTTGTGCATCTACCCCTGAGTTCCTCTGGAATTCATAGCCCACTGTTGCCTTCAACTTGGCCCGTTCCGTCAGCCACTAGCACCATCTGTTGGGTGTCCTGATCAGGTGTGGCCTTGTATTCGTCTGTTCCGATAGTCCTGACATCAATGAACTCCGTTCCTACCAGGTCGCAGACTTGGTCCATGTCGCTGTCGACCTTCCTCAAGTAGTAGTCCAGTCGGTCGTGTTCTCCTTGTCTTGGGAACAAACCACATTGGATGGTCTTAACCATCAGCTGGAGCAATGGGAACCGATAAAATGTGGGTTGGATCCATGGGATCAACGTGGTGAGTGTGAGAACAAACTGTCTGCCTTATGTTACTGGTACCCACATGGTATGTGGAACAAGCAAAGATATAGAGAATCTTGTTGGTACTGGTGAGACACAGGCCATACATATGGAACCAGGGAAGCCCCATATGGTCCCATATGAAGGTTTTGACCACTGTATCACCCCAGGATGGCCATGAGGCGAGCATCTACTCAATCAGGTGACCTCAGGAGGACCAGGAGCCTCAGTTTGGCTCAGAGTGCTCAAATCCTGCATAACACCCAATTTTTGGATGCATGCTTTTTGCTCATAGTCCTAAGAATTGAATGTATGAATTGAATACCATCTCCATAGACCTGTAGCTCCCTTGTTCCTTTGCAGTAGATACCTATCTTGTTGAGGCTGAGAGTGGCATTGAGAGGTAAGCTGATAGCATTCGCTAGGCTGCCCAGCATCGTGACAGATAACATCGGTACCAGCTCCAGGAGCTGGAAACTCTGTAAGCAGAGGAGGCCCTGTGGCCATCCTCATCTCTTGTGGATCTACCCTGATCCTTTCAAGAAGTTATTGGATTAAAAAGTCGCAATAGCATCACAGGAGAAGCTATTGCTACAGACGAACAGGCCCAGTGAATCAGAGCTCGAGTCCAAGTTGGAGATCTCCAAGAAATCCTACCTTTTGACTCACACTGATCCACACAGCCATTTCTGTTGTTATTCGAGGTCACCAGTGGATCCGTGAGGCCTGAATTACCCAAGAACAAGCTCTGCAAGCTCCCAAGGCCGAAATCGAGGAACCTACCAACCCCGAGTTCACGAAATCGCATACGAATCGACTCGACACGGAAAACTCGCGCTGATTTTCGAGGATTTTGTGAGCTGGAACCAGTCAAGTTAAGAGGAACGAAAAGAGTTAACGGACATCCACAGAGGTGCGGCGTACCGGTCACACGAAGGTCGATCAGCCAATCAAATCGCCCGTGCAGTATTGACAAAGTCACAAGAACCTCCAGGAACGACACGAGTTCTCGTACCGGTCACGGCACGAACGACGTTAACGCTTCACAGTCACCCGGAACGTCCGTGCAGTTTTCACTGTTCACGAGTTCCCGTACCGGTGTCCGTGCAGTTTTCGTTCGAACGTTCCACGGAAGCCTTTCCTAAAGGACATTAAATCCACGAAGTCACACTGGAAGTTCCGGATCGATCCTGGAGCCTCACGGACAACTGCAAGACTTAGAGAGTTCACTCCGAAGACTTATACAAGTGCGCAACGTGTTTACGGACGAGTTCACGTGTTTACGGACGAGTTCCCGTGAAATAGACCTCACATTTCAGGTGATTTTCAGCTTTCAGTCTATTACGGTGTGCACTTCAAGCCTATTACAAGTACAAGCACAACATGGTAAACAAGTCTGAGAAGAAGAGGAGGAAGGAAAGGAGGATGGCAGCTGCCAATGCAGCAGAGCTTGCAGCCACTCCTCAAGATGGCAACCAGCCACCCACAACCATTCTCACCCATCCTCTGCTGTTGATGCTGATGGTTCAGTGGCTACCTCCACCCATGATGGGAACAGGGATCCCCCATCGCTCCCACCTGATGTCAACCACACCTCCTTCCACCACCGATGCTATGCTTCAAACTATCCTTATGCGTTTGGAGATGCAGCAAGCATCTATGGAGGCGCAGCACTCTTCTGTGGAAGCCATTGGCAAGCGCCAAGTGATTGATGGATCCGCTTTGAGGGCACAGCAAGCCGATGTCGCGCTCTCACCAGACGCATGGAGGAGCGCCACCAGGACCTTGAGACTCCTTCATCCCACAGTTGAAGAAGTCCATCAATCAGCTTGATGCGCGGGCTCAACAACACTTGGGCTCCATGGAGATCAGCCATAGTTCTATGAACCGAAGCTTGCTTCACCAATCCGCCCTGTAGCCCAGGAACAACATGGTGTTGAGGAGCAGGAGAATGTCGTTTAACAAGCCCTTGGCGAGCATCAAGGAGGACCCAATGCACTCACTCCCAACACCATCCTGGAGACCAGCCTGAAGGTGATGTTTGCTTTGAAACAGGAGGCAGATGCCTTCATTGAGTTGCCACCTACCTCACTGGCAATGGAGTCCACCCTGCCAAGGTTCCTGCCAAGGTTCCTGCCAAGGTTTCTCCATGGAGGAGGAAGCATTCAAACCAAACCCACTCCAGTACACCCAGTCACTGGGGCTCCTCCACCTTTACCATCCCTAGGATCACAATCCAACAGACTGACTACACCAGGCAACCAGACCTCATCATTCCTGATCTTCCACCACCCGATCAGCAGACACACTACAGTGGCAGGTATGGCTCAATTGGGTTGGGAAGAAGTCTGGATCAGGTACCCACACCCCCTTGATGCCTCCAGCTACCCTCCAATGTAGCATGACCCCTGAGCACTGGTTGGGGAGGATGTACCCCAATGGACAGTTCCTACACCTCACAGGTGAATGGAACAACACATGAAGCCCCAGCTCCAACCCAGCTCTCAACCCCTTCACCTTCACCAGAGCCCAACCATCAAACCCCCTTCAAGATCCTTGACAAGGCACCAGCATTACGTGCCCCAAGTCTATTGTCCCCTTTCCCAATGGCACCACAGTGATTGGATCCAACCTGGGCTACACTGGCCATGGCCCTGGCCCTGACCAACCACCAGATCAAGTGTATCGCGTGGAACCTGGAGGAGCAATCAATACCCTAGACCCCAATCTGGAGGCCGTGGTGGACCTGGAGGACCTGATGAACCTGGCGGCTCTGGAGGATCTGGAGACTCTGATGGTGGACCCATACCATGGGGGCAACAGGTATGGACCTGGAGGCCCTGGTGCCCTGGAGACCCTGGTGGACCTGGAGACCCTG